AATAACCATACTGTGTCAACACCCATAAACATCTTACAACTTTCTTAACCTTAGTTATCATCCCCCCCCAGCACACTAACACACAAACACACCCATCCCCCCCACACCCACCAACAGATCGTACCAATGTACTTGCATCGTGTTTGTATTTGTCGATGTTGAGGTACGACCTAGAAACAGTATCTACCTGCTTATTATAATAATGTTTGTCTGTGTGTGTCTCTCAACTGATTCAACACACCTGTCACACATGTGCAATGTATAAGACTGTCATTAACACATGTACATCAAAGTGATGTGTATCTTTCAGTGTATATGCATACAACGTTTAATGACCACTTTAGGATTTAAGATATTAGTGATGTTAATAACCCAAAAGCAGCTGATAAACCTATTTTTTTTTTATTTTTGTTACAAAACAGTGGAATTACTTTATTATTCAGTGCCACCTGTGACCGATATCGAGTTTTTCTATCCTCGTACCTTGACCTGGTACCAGGCTTTTCTGTTGGTTGCCTGTTCAACCAGCCTGTTGCTGTTGGCATCCTACTGGCACACATTTCCATTACACTGTTGTCGAGTTTCCTCTTGTAAACATCCACATATGTTCCGGCTGGGAGCAGGTTGACAAGCCTTGCAACACGAATAATACAAGTGTTCTCGAATTGCGCCTATGGTGCCTATGCTGTCAACTGGATCTATTTTGCACTTCCTCCCACATTTTTCACACTATGTCTGTGACCTGTGATACACTTGGGACCAGTTTTGGGAGTTTTCTTACATCCGCAACCTGGTCTTGGGTCAGGCTGGTCAACCAGGCTTTTGTTGTTGGCGGTCCACTGGTCCACAAATCCATCACAGTCTGAGCGATCTGGCACTTGGAAGAAAGACTTTACATATAACACACCTCTTATGAGTTTCGACTCTCATTGCTCTGGTGATAGCCTGGTTAATCAGGCTGTTGCTGCCGAAGGCCCGCGGCCCCCCACATATCCATCACAGCCTGGTTAATTTGGAACCTAGTGAAGATACTTGTCCAGTTTTCTCTTGAAGATTTCTACATTTGTTCCAGCCGTGTTTCTGATATCTTGTGGTAAGACGTTGAATAGTCTGGGATCATGAATGTTGATACAGTGTTCCCTTGTGACCACCGCACCCCTGCTCCTCCCTGGGTTTATTTTGCACTTCCATCTCTCTCACTCCAGAATGTTATGGCAGTGTGCAGATTTGGGATCAGGTTCTCGAGTACTTTCCAGGTATATATTATCGTGTATCTCTCTCTAGTCCGTTCCAGTGTGTACATGTTCAAGATTTTAAGGCGTTCCCAGTAACGATCTCTGTATTTGTTTCCTTTTGAGGAGGATGTCTCAGCAGTAATTTAAATATATTCTGGTACAATATTGAATAGTCTGGACCCACGGATGTGATACAATGTTCTCTTATTTTACATATGGCGCCTTTGTCTTTCACTGGGTTAATTTTACACTTCATGTCTTTCATTCCAGTGCGTTGTTATTGGTAGTGTGTAGGTTTGGGACAAGGCCCTCAAGTATTTTCCATATACATATCATTTCTACATTCTAGAAAGCACATATTCAGAAATTTTAGGCATTCCCAGTAGTTTAAAAGTCTTATTGACTTGCTGTAGGCTGTAAACTATCTCTGTATCTGTTCCAGCTCTAATATATCAACTACCCAAACCAACACGCTTTTAGAGCGGGACGATCATGCTTGTCACAGCTGCTGAACCACTATGACAGAAATACGGAGGCGTTGGAGGATAACCAAAACGCAGATGTAATATACACAGATATTGCAAAGGCGCTTGACAAATGCAATCAGGGGCGATAAATGAGGGCCAAAGGAATTATGGGAAAGGCAGGCAGATGGATTCTCGGGTTCCGAACACACATCTGTATAGCCCTTGTGGCTTAGCGCTTCTTTTTGATTATAATAATAATCCGAACACACACAACACAAAAAGTTGTAATAAACAGAGCAAAACCCAGCATCTGCTGTTTCTTATCCTAATGGCAGACATAGATAAGAACACCTGTCAAACTTTCGTATCATCATTTGCACATGACACTAAAATAAGCATGAAAGTAACTTCAGTAGAAACACTGAAAAATTACATGAAGATGTAAGCAGGATTTTCCAGTGGGCAGTGAAGAACATGACGTTCAATAGTGATAAGTTCCAGCTGCTTAGGTAAGGAAAGAATGAAGAACTCAAATAGAACACTGTATACAAAACTCAAGAGGATCCACATATAGTACGAAAGAAACACGTGAAAGGCTTGGGAATAATTATGTCAGGTGACCTTTCAAAGAACACAATAAGACAAAGGTCACGACAGCCAGGAGGATGAAGGGGTGGGCAATGAGAACCTTCAAAACAAGGGAAATAACATCAATGGCGACACTTCACAAATCGCTCATGCTCCCTCATTTGGAATATTGCTCAGTGTTGACGGCCCCGTTCAGGGCAGAAGAAAAATCAGAGCTTGGACAAAAAGAGATCGGTTACGGCCCGCACAGCCAATACAGCATTTAAATTAATGGGAATGCCTTAGAGTCTTGAATATGTACTTACTGGAGTGAAGGAGAGAGATACATGATGATAATATGTACCTGGGAAGTACTTGAGGACATACTCCCACATTTGCACACTGCCATAACAACATACTGGAGTGAGAGATATGGAAGTGAAAAACAAACCCAGTGAAAAGCAGGGGTGCAGAGGGCACAATAAGAGGACACTGTATCAACATCCGCAGTCCCAGACTATTCAACATCTTAATCTTACCAGAAGATATCAAAAACACTTCTGGGACAAGTGTAGAAGTCTTCAAGAGGAAACTGGACAAGTATCTTCACCAGGTGCCAGATCAACCAGGCTGTGATGGATATGCATGGCAGTGGGCCACCAGCAGCAACAGCTCGTTGATCAGGCAAACAGATGAGCCTGACTCATGGCCGGGCTCTGGGAGTAGAAAAAGCTCTTGGAACTCATCAAAGGTATATCAAAGGTAAAGGTATCCTGGATGGTGCCATCAACACCGAACAGTACTCGAGTCATGAGAGCACAAGCAATTTGAATATCATCTTTGGCAATATTTATCTTGTTTTGAATGTTGTCATTATTCACCCTGACATCTGCCTAACGTTCAGAACGTTTGCCTTATTATATTTTCTAATTAACAGGTCAACTGACTTGTCATTTAGAGAACACGTTCTTTTCGTTCTGGTTGATGGTTATCCTGTTTTTGTATGTCATATCTGAGTTCATTTTTCTCATCTGAGCAACTGGACTTTGTCACCAATGACCACCATTTTATTTTCTACTATGGAAGGTTTTCCTTTCATCCTCTTGCATTTTTAATGTCTTCTACTTAGGATACTTCTACGCTTATTTTCTGTATCATCAGCAAATGATAATACGAGGTTGTGACGAGAATTTTTCTCTCTCATATGAGGATGAGAAACAGCAAAGGTGCCAGGACAGTGCCCTGAGGTACTGATTTTTTTTTTAAACTGATAGGGCAGAATTTTACATTTACTACTCGTGTGTGTTCTAGTGATCAGAAATTGAATATCCATCTGCCTACTTTTCCCGTTATACCACATGACCTCATTTTATGAGCTATCACTCCATGATAGTATTTATTAAATGCCTTCACAAAAGTCCGTGTATATCACATCTGCATTTTGATTTTCTTCCAAGTCGTCTGTAATCCTGTCGTGGTGGTTCAACAACTGTGATAAGCATAATTTTCCTGCTCTAAATCTACGTTGGTTTGCATTGTGCTTTTCCTGATCATTGTAATTTAACGGCACATCACCGAAAACGCCTCATCATCCAATACACTACACAAACAACCTGCACATTGGAGAAAGAAGCTTGCGACGACGTTTCGGTCCGACTTGAACCATTTACAGTCACTGATTTTGTAAATGGTCCAAGTCGGACCGAAACGCCGTCGTAAGCTTCTCTCTATGTGCGGGTTATTTGCGTATTGCTTTTTAGTTTCATATCTTTATTATACACACCATACCCATGGTGTATTGTTCCAGTCATGGTGTTGTGCCTTTTTGTTCTTTATCCAATACACTGTTATGATAGTGTGCAAATTTGGGACTAGGACTCAAGTATCTTCCATGTATACATTATCAGGTGTCTCTTCGCTCCAGAGAGTCCATCTCAAATACCTTGAGGCTTTCCCAGTAGTCTGAATGCTTAACTATTACATCTGTAACCTTATCAAATTTACACTTTCATCCTTATGTTTATAATACCATGAGAGTTGGCCGGATTTTTTTAAATTAGGAAACAAATATAGCACACTAATCTACATATGTCAAGTAATCTCCTTAATACAAATTGCTTGCAAGATAAAAGCATGACAAACTCGTAACTTATACCTAAATGTACTCCAGTTAGCCCTCTTAGGATCTAGTTCCTAGGCCATTTGTGTATCCATGTACTCTTGTGCTAAACTCCTCCGCATGGAGTACTTCATCGTTGACAAATAACAAATTATTAAACAAGGAGCATAGCCAAAAGAGAATTTACTACGAAGAATTAAAAACTGAGGATCACAAATGCTAAGGGAACATAGAAAGTATTTTCATTTTTCAGCCCCAGTGAGAAATTATTGGTGAACATAGAGACAGGGCTTGAGGGTGACAAGAGAGAAGCAGAAGAAACCATTGCGTGGGGTCAGGGAACAAATACACACACACACACACACACACACACACAAAAAAAAAAAAAAAAAAAAAAAAAAAAAAAAAAAAAAAAAAAATTATGCAAACTGTCAAACTATGCAGACGAAACCTAAGTAATACAAACATTGAAAACATGTTATAAATTATTTAAGGAAATAAGAAGAGCGCCATTAAAGGCGGTAAACAAAATTATCACTTCAGTATACTTATTCTGACAAAGAAAATACATGCATATAAGAAAGCATAAAAATACACAAAGATGAGTCTTACCGTTCTTGAGTTTGTTCTCCTCGGCAGCTTGACCGTTGGGGAAGATGGTCTTCACGAATATTCCCATACTGCCCTTCGGTGAATCCCGCCCACCTACAATAGAAAACCCAAGAGACTTCCTGCCGCGTCCTTTCTCGAAGGCCACTGTCTGTACCGACATCGAGAGAGACTTGGGGCGTCGCGGCAGTGTGGAACTAAGACCTCGAGGCTCCGACCTCGAGGGATTGGGAAGTTTGATGGATCCTGGCGGACAGGAGAGTCTTTGGGCGACTGGCGGACATTTTCTGCTGGAGTGGGGAGACTTTCTGCAGGGGGTGGAGGGGGTTGAAGCTGTCTCTATCAACACCTGTTTCTGTGGCGTCGTTTCCAGCCTCGGGATCATGCTAGTGTGTTTACCATCCCACTCGTGAGAGTCCTCAGGTTCTACGTGTATGAGCTTGGACTTGTATATATCACTGAGAAAAGCTTTATCACCGCAAAGTCTTACGTCACTAGCCGAGGAGTATCTCACATCATTTGAATTTCTTACATCGTGGGAAGAAGAATATCTGGGCTCACCGTTAACATAGCGAGACAGATTACCTTTTCTATTCACGTATATATCGTAGTAAGTAGTATGGGTGTGCTCTGACGAAGATACGGTGGCAGGAGACGACTGCAGTGTTGGGATGTTGGAAGGTAGAGATGCCGGGCTTTCCGAAATAGGCACTGAAACAGATACAGTGCCTGACACTGATACTGTAGCTCTCGAGGGGTCGTAGCCCGGCAGGTAAGACTCCAGCGGTGCCAAAGTGGTGTAGTCCGCATAATCATCGTAATCAGAGTAAGATCCCCTTCTGCGTGGGAGACTTCGTTCACTATAAGTATCCAGGTGTTCTCGCCTCACTCCAAGAGCTTCATCGGCGCTCAAAAGTTCGTTCCTGAAGGCTCTATCGGCGGCATAGAGCTCACCACAAGCTGCGCTCAGCCGCTGAGCAGCCTCAGCCTCCGCAGTTTTATCATCTGATGCGTGGTAGGTGGCGTTGTACTCGCGGTGGTGATGAACGTCCACCTCCCTGGCAATGACGATGTCCACTTCCTTAGGCGTGCTGCGCAGGATGTGGCGAGCCTCGTCCAACGTCACACCACGCAGGCGCCGACCGTTTACATTAATGATCTCGTCACCAACACGGAAGCGACCGTCCCTGCAATAGAGAGAAGTGAATAGCTAAAATTCCCATTTTACATACAGACAAGTTTGCTTAATGAAATTGTCAGGGAGTCATTAAACTTTAGTATGCAATGCACATCACTGCAAGTCATTAAACCTGAGCATGCAATGCACACCATTGCAAACGTAATTAAAAAAAAAGATTTAACAATCTATAAAATTTATTTTCTGACACACACTAGCGATTTTAGAGTACCACTGTAATTTTAGTGTGACGAGGAAGAAAGCTGAAGCAAATCATCTCATTCATTTTCCTTACGATCTTCAAAAAGCCTGGTACATGAAAGATTACATTAACATAAACTATTATTTAAGTGTTAAAAGTAATTTTGCAAAACAAAAGTAATTCAAGTATGTAAACAATCCAGGGCAACATGGGTTTCTTGCAGGTCGGTTCTCTCACCATTGTTGGACCAAGACAAGCTAAATGTCTAGGTATTCAATACATTTCATGGAAGTCTTGGACAACTGGAGACATGCACGCTTCAAGTTCCTAATCAGTGTCCTCAACAAAAATGAAGGTGTGTTCCTGAGGTAAAGTAAACTAAAAGTATTCCCAAGCATCAGATACACGGTGAACCCTCCAGTCAATATAAGAACATAAGAATGTAGGAACACTGCAGAAGGCCTACTGGCCCATACGAGGCAGGTCCTTATCAAAACGACCTCTACCTAAAGCTACCCAAGAAATAATTCCCGTACCCCATGACACCAATCAAACCCAGCCCCTCCCACTCATATATTTGTCCAGTCTCTTCTTAAAGCTACCCAAGGTCCTAGCCTCTATCACACCACTGGGAAGACTGTTCCACGCATCTACAACTCTGTTAGAAAACCAGTACTTGATGAACATCAAAATGGTATACAATACCGACAGGTTGTTAGGTAAGACACATATGCAACAGTTAGACAACTTTATTCCGAAACGTTTCGCCTACACAGTAGGCTTCTTCAGTCGAATACAGAAAGTAGGCACATCTCTACTGTTCCTGCCTACTTTCTGTATTCGACTGAAGAAGCCTACTGTGTAGGCGAAACGTTTCGGAATAAAGTTGTCTAACTGTTGCATATGTGTCTTACCTAACAAACCAGTACTTACCTATGTCCTTTCTAAATCTAAATTTATCCAACTTATATCCATTATTTCTGGTTCTTACCTGGTTCGACACCCTCAGTACTTTATTGTCTCCCTTGTTTATGCCCGTCATCCACTTATACACTTCAATGATATCTGCCCTCATTCTACGCCTCTCCAGAGAGTGGAGATTTAAGGCTTTAAGTCTATCTTCATACGGGAGGTTCATTACACAGTAAATCATTTTAGCCATTCTTCTCTGTATGTTCTCTAATGAATCTATGTCCATCCTGTAGTAAGGGGACCAAAACTGAGCAGCATAATCTAAATGAGGCCTCACTAGTGATGTATAGAGCTGTAAAATAATTTTGGACTTCTGTTACTTATACTTCTTGAGATGAATCCAATATAATCAGACTTCACATAAAACAACGATATACACCTAAATTTTAGTTTTTTCGCTACAGACGAATAAATAGAACTGTCATATGAGACTTATGCAAATCATACTATAAAGCACAAATGAGATCTAGGAGTATTCATGTCAGAAATTAATTTATAACCACAATAGTTAATAAAACTCAAAAGCAAAATTATAGGATGAAAAGCGACATCTTTCTACACATGAGACAGTAAACCACTATCATGATGATGCTCTTTAGGAACTTTTACATTAGACTACAACACTGGCCAGACTACGGATCACGAGACTGTGCACACAACATCTATTGCTCACATCCATTCACTCAAGCACATTAAGTAGAAAGGCCCAAAATCATCCAGATTCTACTCGCTGAACTAGTAAAAAAATTTTTTTTGATCGAGTTTGTCATACGATGATCCATTTGTTGACTAAGAACATCTTCAGATGACCCGTTTGTTAAGTAAAAGGACACAAGTGCAACTAATGTGACATTTATTGTGGCCACAATAAATGTCACATTAGTTGCACTTGTGTCCTTTTACTTTACATATTGTCGGTAATTCTACCAACTTTATTACGACCCGTTTGTTAACATCTTAAAACCAAGGAAGACGTATATTCACACATGGAAATACTGGACGGACTTTTTATAAATATGCACACTGCAGTATCCAATGAGAGCGGAAGCATTGTAAACCATGAAAAAATGACCCAATAAAAAATTAAGGAGAAGTATGTACACAAAATAATAATTACGTAAGTACCTAAAGTCGCCCCAAAAACTTTGCAATAGTCTCCTCTCAAATAAAAGGAATCTCTCCTATAGACCACTATATTGAAGGAGGGAATTATAAGTTCTTACAAACCTTTACATCCTGGTTGAGGCACCCACGTGAAAACTTAGCAGTACCTACAGTGGCTGGTAAGACAACCATGACACTCGGGCTCAGAACAGGCACTGGAAAGGGAGGGACCTCTGACGAGTTCCGAGAGTTTGTCTACTCCCAGAGCCCGGCCTTGGGTCAGGCTCGTCCCTAGCAACACTTCAAGGCAGAATCAATGACACTTGCATTAGCACCAATATAACATTTTGCAAAACCCTTCGGTGTAATAGCACACAAGATCTATGCAACAGAAATAAAAAAAATAGATGGATATTCAACTTTCTAAGAAATCGAACCCCCCAAAAAACAGCAGTCAACAGGAAAAGAGCCGTATTGCCCAAGGCACAGTACACGCTCCAATTATATTTCTCACTCGTATATTTTACACAGATACAAATCATAGCACGTTATTTTTTTTTTTATTTGTGGACGACTCTAGAATTTCAACAAGAATGGTATTCATCGAGGACGCAGCAAATCTTCAGGATTAAATAAATTATCATGTGGGAGTTCGACACGTGGATTAGGTAAGAAATACTCACGTAGGCTGTTATTACGTATAATTGCAGATATGTGGAGAGAGCCCTTGCAACCGTACCTATCTCCTTGCTCACACTCGTAACACTAACTGACCGGCCGCCCACGTACCCATAGAGGGTCTTTGAATAATGCCAGGTCAGCTCAATATGAATAGACAGTGACTCAGGCAGAGACGGTTGGTCGTTGAGTCAACGGTACACTGGTTACTGGTAACTGGTTACTACTACTGAGAAAATCACCTCTTCACTTATCAGCCAAGAGGCATGACAACAATAAAATGAAATCTTCAATTTAATAAACGTACAATACAATATGCGGTAGCTTAGCTGCGTTCCTGTACAATACACGGGAGCTTAGCTCCTTTACCATATAATATACAGAAGCCTAGCTACTCTACAGCACACGGGGGCCTAGCTGCTTTGCCATACAATACACTGGGGCCTAGCTGTTTTTGCCATACAATACACGGGGACCCTAGCGGTTTTTGCCATACAATACACGGGGCCTAGCTGCTTTGCCATACAATACACGGGGCTTAGCTGCTTTGCCATGCAATGCAGGGGGCCTGTTTTGCCATACAATACACGGGGGCCTAACTGTTTTGCCATACAATACACGGGGGCCCTAGCTGCTTTGCCATGCAATACATGGGAAGATAAGTGAAGGGTGTGCTGGAGGGGGATGATAGGTGCGTGGGGTATGTGTAAGTGAGGGATGGTACACTGGATGAGCTTGTGAGGAAGGGTAGGGGAGGGTGCAGGGGACGTGCTGGCGGTGGAGAAGCCAGGTGCTGAGTGTGAAGGCCAGTGCTCGCGCCATCCTGGAGCCTCCCACCTCACTACTACTGTCTCTTGTTACTTCTCTCATTAATACTCTCTCAGTTACACTCCCACCTCACCACTACTATCTCTTGTTGCTTCTCTCATTAATACTCTCTCAGCTACACTCCCACCTCACTACTACTGTCTCTTGTTACCTCTCATTAATACTGACTCTCAGCTACATTACCATCTCACCACTATTGTCTCTTGTTACTTCTCTCAGCTACACTCCCACCTCATCACTACTGTCTCTTGTTACTTCTCTCAGCTACACTCCCAGCTCACTACTACTGTCTCTTGTTACTTCTCATTAATACTGACTCTCAGCTACACTCCCACCTCATCACTACTGTCTCTTGTTACTTCTCATTAATACTGACTCTCAGCTACACTATCACTGCTGTCAGCCTCCCACCTTCAGGTACGCGCTTCATAATTCTGTTTCTCTAAGTTATCTGATCTCTTCCACTATTTTCCTTCAATTTACTTTGAAGTGCTTCCGAAAATCGCCACTCCCGGCCAGGTCACTAGCCAAGTCTGGCTTGTTTCCTACATGTGAAATTACATTCGCTCAACTCGTGGGGGGCTAGAAAAAGACAAATGCAGTATAATGCCATCTTTTATTGACAAATGCAGTATAAAGCGATCTTTTATCAAGTCACAAACAGATTTGTTTGCGACTTGATAAAGCCCATTATGTGGGCGAAACTTAGTCAATAAAAGATCGCATTACACTGCATGTGTCAATTTTTACATCATGTTGGTATTTTATACAATTTCTCTCCCTTGTTGAGGGTTACACAGCGACCGATGAAGAGAAGGGTGGTGTTTAATTCCTTGGCTTAAGAGCTCTTCTCCATCATCACGGCACATTCCCATACAGGATGACCTCCTCTCTGATGATCTTATGAAGCGGTGTGTTGGAAGCTGCGGCTGGCAGCTCCACGTATACATCACAACCTTGCTGATGAGGGATACTGGTGGTGGTGCATTGTTTCTCAAGATGAAAAGTTGTTTTCTGACACATGTCTAGTTAAGCTATGACCCGCCGGCTTCTGGCTGACCCCAGCAAGACTATGTCTTCAAGCTGGCACTGGACAAGCACCTAAAGTCAGTTCCTGATCAGCCGGGCTGTGGCTCGTACGTTGGTTTGCGTGCAGCCAGCAGCAACAGCCTGGTTGATCAGGCGCTGATCCACCAGGAGGCCTGGTCACAGACCGGGCCGCGGGGGCGTTGACCCCCGAAACTCTCTCCAGGTCTCCAGGTAAACCAGTTGATCACTACCTATTGGAGTCCTGAGCTGGTAAAATGGTCTGTAAGAATGTATCTGACACAAAGTGCAGGTTAACTGATATATTAAAACAAGCCTTAATAAACTCCTACATTATAAGGTAACACAATAACTTGAAGCAACATGAGATGCAATGAAATTAAAAATAGAATAATGCAGGAACACTGCAGTAGGCCTATTGGCCCATGCTAGGAAGGTCTAACACCTACTCATATCCTACCTAAATTGAAACCTACCCCAAGTTTTCGCTGCCAATGACGCTTCTTGAGAGTTGTGCCACTCATCTACAACTCGGCAGCCTAACGAGTACTTCCATATATCCTTTCTAAATCTAAATTTCTCCAATTTGAATCCATTGCTTTGAGTTCTGTCTTCGTTAGTTATTTTCAACATCATTATTTATATCCCTTTTTTTTATTTCTGTTTTCCAGCTGTACACTTTAATATCGTCATTAATTCTACGTCTTTCCTGAGTGCAAATTCAGTGCCTTCAGCCTATCTTTGTGGGCAAGGTGTCTGATATATGGGATCAACTTCATCTTAAACTGTAAATTTTCCAGCGTATTTACGTTCATTCTGTAATACGAGACCAGAACCGAGCAGCATAATCTAAATGATGCCTTACCAAGGATATAAAAAGTTGGAGAATATATTTAAGACTTCTATTTATACTTCTTAATATGAAGCCCTTCATATCAAGAATTCTATCAGCATTATTGCAAACACTTAATGCACTGTTGTCTTGCTTTTAAATTTCTACTAACCAGAACTCCTGAATTTTTTTCACATTCATTTTGATTAAGATCTTCATTATTTAGCTTAAGTACCGTAGTTATTAGGATAAAAACATTACATTGTCCGTACTGAACAACATCCGTCACTTCTCCGACCACAGCATCAACCTATCCAGTTTATCCAGTAGTTCAAGTGTCCTCATCAGAAAGTATCTTACGGCACGTATAAACTACTGGAAACGCCTACAGTCCTTTCATCTGTATTCCTTGGAACGTAGGCGACAAAGGTACATCACAATTTACACAGAAAATCTTGGAGACACTGATCCCCAATCTACACATCAGAATCACTCCATGTGAAAGCAAGACACTTGGCAGACGGAGCACATCACCTTGAATATAATGTAGGGACATGATGAGTACACTAAGAGAGAAGTTGAGTGTCAAACGCTCCCGATTCTTCACCAGCCTCCCTCCGTTCATAAGGGGAATTGCCGACAAACCTCTAGCAGTCTTCAAGAGGAAACTGGACAAGTTTCTGACCAGGTAGGCTGTGATTAGTACATTCAACGCAAGCGGCCAGTTGTAACAGCCTGGCTGATCAGGCCTTGATCCTCCAGGAGGCCTGGTCTGGAACTAAGCAAGGGCGTTGATCCCAGGAAGCATTATTCGGGTATCTTCAGTGTCATTGGCTAACTTATTATTTATTCTTCATCTACATCATATGTGTAGCTTGTGAAATACATAGGTCCCAACGCTGACCCTTGTGGCACACCACTTGTAATAGGTCCCCATTCTGGGTTCTCTCCTTTAATGCACTCTTGCCTATCAGTCACCTCAACCCAAGAGATAATTTCTCCTCTCTCAAGATGGAGAAATTTCTTCCCCTTCGAGGTGGATTTCAACTGAATCAGAAATTGATTCCATCGACCATCCTACAATTGAGGTTAGACTGATTGGTCTATAATTTAAAGGTGAGGACATGTCTCCCGTCTTGCAAGTGGGTATCATATTTACCACTTTTCACTTATCTGGTACAATACCAGCTTGTGTTGATCTGTGCAGGAAATTAGAACCTTTGACAACAGTTCTTTGGGGCAGTGTGTCTGAGTACTGTCACTGGTAACTCTGAACTTTTATTTTTGCTCTAACCTATATAATTAATGATCTTTTTGATTTTGTTCGTATTATTGAGTGTAAAAACGGAGACAAAATAGTACACATTTCTTCGTCAATAATTGTAAAGTGACTTAAGTTACATTTAAGTAGGCTTATCTTTTCCTTTAATCTTACGTCTATTGGCCTGAAAGAAGCCCTTTTAGCTGTCCTTATTCAATTTTTTGATTTCTCTTAAATTTAATATACTGGTCAATAAACTCCTCTTTTTTAACTCTCCTGTAAATGCTTTTTATATCTGCCTCAGAGATGTTTTACTGCATTACTCATCCACTTAGGGTCAGCTACATTTGATCAAATTTCTCTATTAGAAATATATGCAGCTTGGGCGACGCCACAGAGACATCCATCATCATTGTGTATATAAATGGTTAAGAGAACGGATATCACACTGGATTTGTCCAACGTTATATCTCCTACGACTGCCTCACCTCAGTACGATATATCAGTCACTTATTCACGCATATGCTGCCATCTTTTCAAGACTGATGGACTGATTACATCGACTCTAGGCTGAAGGACTGATTACCTCAAACTTCTGATCTTCACCATTCTTCTTTGATGAAGCCACTGTGTGGCGAAACGTTTCCTCAATAAAGATACCCAAGTGTTGCACTTGTGTTTAATTATCATCATCGTGTATCCAGCCCCCATCATGATAATTCTAAGTCATAATAATCCCTCCGCCCCATATAATCTGCAGCTTGGAAATTAGGGACCTAGATTTTATCGTCATTAAGATAATTCCATGAAATACCGAAACAAATTGATTTGTGGTCACTTTCTAGAAGCTCATCATTAACTTCAACATCATTTACCAGAGATTCCTTCTTTGCCAGAACCAAGTCAGTGCACAACAGATTTCTTTTTTTCATTTGTGCTGCACCAACACACATCCCTCTGATGTTGTCAGTACAGTATTAACACAAGTCAGTCTCTTAAGAACCGGTTGGACAAGCCCTTTAACTAGATACAACTCAGACGCCACCTCAATAGTGTAGCAGCTGAATAGATACTTGCTGTGGTTGGTTGCTCTCACTGCAACAATTAGCTCCAACTAATTGTTGCAGTGGAATGACCGAGCTGACCATGGATGGAGAGAGCACAGTACTTGGTGGTGTTGGTGGCAGTAGTAAAATAGTAGCACAGTAGTAATAGCAATAGCAGCGGCAATAGTGTCATTCACCGAGCACTTGGAGCAAGTAGGTCCCTCAACGCTCATAGCCATAAAAACATACATGTACAACACACAATAAAACAAGAAGCAATAGTAGTAATAATAACAGTAGTAGTAATAACAGTAATAACAACATTAACAGTAATAATAGCAATAGTAAGAGCAACGGCAGTAGTAACAACAGTAGTAATATTAACAGTCATAATAGTAATAGCAACAGTAATAATAGTAACAGCAGCACTAGTAGTAATAGCAACAGTAGTAATACACAGTAGTAGTAATAGCAACAGTAGTTGTAATAAACAGTAATAGCAACAATAACAGTAATAGCAAAAGTAGTAAAATCAATAGTAGTAATAGCAATAATAGTAGCAATAACAACAGAAGTAATATCAACAATAGCAATAACAGTAGTAGTAATAGCAACAATAGTAGCAATAGCATTAACAGCAATAGCAACAGAAGTGGTAATATCAATAGTAGAAATAACAGCAATAGCAGTATTAACAGCAAAGATGTATATTCTGAGGGGCATATGGAATAATGAAGAGCATATGGCAGGATGAGGATATGGTATGGTGAGGAGCATATGGTAGGATGAGGATATGGTATGGTGAGGAGCATATGGTAGGCTGAGGAGCATACCTGGAGGTTATTCCTGGAGGTTATTCCGGGGATCAATGCCCCCGCGGTCCGGTCCATGACCAGGTAGGATGAGAAGAATATGGTAGGATGAGAAGAATATGGTAGGATGAGGAGAGAGTATGTTTTACCTGTCTGTTAGGCCGTTTTTCTCTATGTGAGCGATGACGTAACCGGTGGTGGCGCCGCGGGAGTTCCTGCGAGCGGTGATGTAGATACCCAGCTCCCCCGTGTGGTCCTTCACCAGTCTCATGAGCCGGAAAGTGCGCGGCGTGGGCGAGTGCGAGAGTGACACCGGTAACGACAGCGGCGCTGACGAGTACGACTCCACTGGCCTGCAGAGCGATGTACTTCGCAAGTGTCCCCGCAGGGGAGTGTTGCCTTCCCACCACGGGCACCCAGCCTCCCCGTCCTCCCTGAACACGCTGAGGGCACCTCGCAGTGGGCTCAGTGGTGACGTACGCCGTTCCAGCTGGGATGCTAAGAATCTCTGGCGGCGAATGATCAAGTCCTGAGGGTCCGAAAGTCGCCTAGGACCCCGCTGGGGACGAACTGGTACCAGTTTCTCCTCGTCTGTCAGATTATATACGGGCGGTCTGGTCTGTGATGCAGCCTGGTGGCGGGTGTAACGAGAGGGTCTGCAACAGTCGGTGTAGTTGTCGTTATACCTGGGTGTGGTCATGCCAGGGTCGTTCTGGTTACTGGGTTTGCTCCGTAATTCAGCGTTCGGTATGTCGTCTAGCTTAGCGAACCCATCCAATTTGGAATAGTCGGGTTTGGAGTAATTATCGAGATTAGGATAATTACCAGGCTTATTGTAATTATGGAGATTAGGATAATTATCAGGTTTGGTGTAGTTAACATTAGGATAGTTATCAGGTTTAACATATTTTTCTAGTCTGGCATAATTGTCTAGTTTAGAGTAATGGTCGAAGGCTGGATGGTCGGCTCCCGTGAGGGAGCCCGAGTCTGAGTTGGTCTCGGAATGGCTCTCCGTGCTGACACCGGAGTCTGCATCACTCTCAGTCTTCTTCACCTTAGTTTTGGGAGACTCGTGGCGACCACCGCCACCGTCACTCTCGTAACCACTCTCGTTGCTACTGAGGTACACGGCCGCAGACCTCTGTTCACTGCGACTCCGGTATCTATGGGGCCTCTGAGGCGGACACGGGTTTTGCATTTCCTTTTGAATTGGAGAAAAAATTATGTCTTGCTCCGTGATAGCCGTTGCTGAATAGGAGCGAGTTCGAGGCTGGAGAGGTGTGGGGATCGGGTGGAGTCTTAGCTTGAAGCCACTGATCCCTCGATGAGCAGGGTTAACAGCGCAGTTCTCTTCCGATACTGCTCGCAATTTCTGCCGTATTAATTCTCTCGTATCTTCATCACACACAGAATCCCGCAGCGTCGTCATCCGTCTGCTAGCGGGACGAGTCGGGGTGTCTGTAGGGGCCTGGATGAGGGGCTCCTGAAGCTGCTTCTGTGGGGTTGCCGGGGGACGGGAGCGGAGGAAGGCATGAGGGAAGGATGCCCTCGTGCCCCCCAAGGACGAGATATTCTCACAGCTGACCGTCTTGGTGGGTACGTAGACAGCGGTGGTCTGGGAGGGGCTGGTGCGAGTGAGGTCCAGACCAGCTGCGGGATCTTCGGCAGCCACATAAGTGCCCAGCTGTGAGGCTGAGCATGAGCGGTACAGGAGGCGACCTTCTGCACTGCGACTCTCCGGGGAAGGTGTCCCTGGCACCGACCTTCTTCCCCATGACAGTCCTGGTAACGGCGACGACGGTGACGTACTGGTCGAGCTAGTTGACCTTTAAGAGAAAAAACAGTATTGTTTACTGTCAACTTAGTGCGACTTTTAAAAAACCTACAACTCCTGCTTGAAATTCATTTACCAAAACTTTATTAACAGATCATTTTAACATTTAAGTAATACATACTCATTATAATTATACAATATTACATTGATACAATATTACCATACAATATTACCGTGAGGGTCATTCAGCTTTCAAAGAATGGGAGGCTCTATTTTCCATTTACTATCGCGGTCCGGTTACAGGCCAACTGAGATGTTTTTAACCTTAAGTGTTCTAGGTGACGTATGCAAAGCTACTGGTGGTGCTGACTAGGAAGGAGTTTGGAAACTCACCTGGTAGAGTTGGACCTGGAGAACCTGCCAGAGCTGACCTTTTCTTTGCTAGGTGTACGAGTGAGCTGCTCAAGTTTCTTTCCGACACGTCTACCCCACGTCGCTAGACCTGACAAACGTACAGTGAAGACTGAGATTCGTTGCAAGACCTCAGAGTAATTATTAATGCACTGTCATAATGACAATTATAACAAGGAAAAATACCACAAATTGCTCGTGGCATTAGCTAAATATTTTGGCAAAACACTGCCACTCCAGTTGATACATACAATATAAACTATTTTGTCTTACACTTGAAATAATTTAAGCAGCCACACTACTGGGCTTCCTTAAAATAATTCTCGATATGGAAACGATCTTACAGAAAACTTTATGGTCAATAAAGATGGGAGGGAGTTGTCTACATATCTAGCTACGTAATCTCTCCTTAGACTAAAATTAGGATAATAAAGCAAGTTTTCTCCTCCCCCAACCCCGGCCACACACAGCATGAATAGTGAAAAAAATATCATGCCATACTGAGAAAAAAAATAACGTAGAACACAGACTTACTGCTACACTTACTACAACCCTGAATTACAAAGTTCAATAAAAATGGAGTTCTGGATCATAGGAGCAAGACAGTTACTCGATGCTCAGGACAATAAATATATTTACACCAGCATACATACTATTACACATTAAAAGCCTAGATGTTAATCTCCAGGGTTTGTTACCTGGACCTCAGCAATGAGAGTGGCTACTCTCACCGCTGGGCAACGGCGACAAGTGCATTAAAAGCCTGGAGTCAAAATTATTCCATATGGTCAAGTTAACCACAGCTGTTAAATAATCATATGGGCAACCGCACTAAAGTCTCTGAAAAACGCTTCGGACGTTATAGAAAGAGTAACATTTTTTAGGTGGGTGTGGGCACGTGTAATAGCAGCACCTTACCTACAACTTGACATCATGCACTCTGCATGACCCTGGGTCAGGAATATCAGGTACTTGTCTGGTCAACCAGGCTGTTGCTGATGGCGGCCCAATGGTCCATGTATCTATCACAGCCTGGTTGATCCGGTACTTGTCTGAGGAAATTGTCCAGTTCCCTCTTGAAAACTTCTATACTTGCTTCGGCAGTGTTTCTAATCTCTTCTGGCAAGACGTTAAAAACGCTGTGACGAAAGACGTTGATACACTAAAGAACTAAAAGGCACAATACCGTGACTAGAGCAATACACAAATAACCCGCACATAAGAGGAAAAACTTAAAACGACGTTTCGGTCCGACTTGGACCATTTACAGTCACACTAAAACAAGAGTGACGGAGCCAGTATATATATATATATATATATATATATATATATATATATATAATATATATATATATATATATATATATATATATATAATAAGTGAACAGTATTTAGATAAGGCTAAAGAGGTCTTTGTGGCATTTATGGATTTGGAAAAGGCGTATGACAGGGTGGATAGGGGGCAATGTGGCAGATGTTGCAAGTGTATGGTGTAGGAGGTAGGTTACTGAAAGCAGTGAAGAGTTTTTACGAGGATAGTGAGGCTCAAGTTAGAGTATGTAGGAAGAGGGAAATTTTTTCCCAGTAAAAGTAGGCCTTAGACAAGGATGTGTGATGTCACCGTGGTTGTTTAATATATTTATAGATGGGGTTGTAAGAGAAGTAAATGCGAGGGTCTTGGCAAGAGGCGTGGAGTTAAAAGATAAAGAATCACACACAAAGTGGGAGTTGTCACAGCTGCTCTTTGCTGATGACACTGTGCTCTTGGGAGATTCTGAAGAGAAGTTGCAGAGATTGGTGGATGAATTTGGTAGGGTGTGCAAAAGAAGAAAATTAAAGGTGAATACAGGAAAGAGTAAGGTTATGAGGATAACAAAAAGATTAGGTGATGAAAGATTGAATATCAGATTGGAGGGAGAGAGTATGGAGGAGGTGAACGTATTCAGATATTTGGGAGTGGACGTGTCAGCGGATGGGTCTATGAAAGATGAGGTGAATCATAGAATTGATGAGGGAAAAAGAGTGAGTGGTGCACTTAGGAGTCTGTGGAGACAAAGAACTTTGTCCTTGGAGGCAAAGAGGGGAATGTATGAGAGTATAGTTTTACCAACGCTCTTATATGGGTGTGAAGCGTGGGTGATGAATGTTGCAGCGAGGAGAAGGCTGGAGGCAGTGGAGATGTCATGTCTGAGGGCAATGTGTGGTGTGAATAAAATGCAGAGAATTAGTAGTTTGGAAGTTAGGAGGAGGTGCGGGATTACCAAAACTGTTGTCCAGAGGGCTGAGGAAGGGTTGTTGAGGTGGTTCGGACATGTAGAGAGAATGGAGCGAAACAGAATGACTTCAAGAGTGTATCAGTCTGTAGTGGAAGGAAGGCGGGGTAGGGGTCGGCCTAGGAAGGGTTGGAGGGAGGGGGTAAAGGAGGTTTTGTGTGCGAGGGGCTTGGACTTCCAGCAGGCATGCGTGAGCGTGTTTGATAGGAGGTGAATGGAGACAAATGGTTTTTAATACTTGACGTGCTGTTGGAGTGTGAGCAAAGTAACATTATGAAGGGATTCAGGGAAACGGCAGGCCGGACTTGAGTTCTGGAGATGGGAAGTACAGTGCCTGCACTCTGAAGGAGGGGTGTTAATGTTGCAGTTTAAAAACTGTAGTGTAAAGCACCCTTCTGGCAAGACAGTGATGGAGTGAATGATGGTGAAAGTTTTTCTTTTCGGGCCACCCTGCCTTGGTGGGAATCGGCCGGTGTGATAATAAAAAAAAAAAAAAAAATATATATATATATATATATATATATATATATATATATATATATATATATTATTATATATACATACATACAGGTGGGGGGGAGGGGGAAGGACGGGACCAAGAGAGGTAGAAAAAGTAGTAGTGGTAAGGCTGGTAACGTTGATACAGTGTTCTCTTATTATGCCCATGGTGCCCCTGCCTTTCACAAGGTTTAATCTACACATCCTTCCACATCTCTCGCTCCAGTATGTTGTTATGGCAGTGTGCACATTTGGGACTACATTCGCAAGCACTTTCAACGTTATTTATGATGTATGTATGTATACCTTTACCTCTGATGAGTTTTGAGTCTTTCTACTCGTCTGGTGATAGCCTGGTCAACCAGGCTATTACTGCTGGTGGTCCGCAGCCTCCCATATCCATCACAGTTTGGTTGACCTGGCACGTGGTGAAGATACTTGTCCAATTTCCTCTTGAAAACTTCTACACTTGTTCCAGCAGTGTTTCTGATATCTTCTGGTAAGATGATGAATAATCTGGGGCCATGGATGTCGATACAGAATTCCTTTATCATGCCCACCGCACCCCTGCTTTTCACTAGGTTTATTTTGCACTTCCTTATCTCTTGCTCCAGTATGTTATGGTAGTGTGCAAAATTGGGACCAGGCCCTCCAGTACTTTCCAGGTATATATTATGTATTTCTCTCTCCCCCCTGTTTCAGTGAATACATATTTAAGATTTTAAGGCATTCCAAGCAATTTAAATGCTGTACTGACTATGTGGGCCGTAAACAATCTCTGTATTTGTTCCAGTTCTGATATTTCTCATGCCCTGAAAGGGGCCATCAGCACTCGGCAATATTCCAAATGAGAGGCACTAGCGATATGAAAAGTATTACCAGTGGCATTATTTCCCTTGTTCTGAAGGTTCTCATTACCCACCCTTTCATCCTCCTGACTGTCGTGACCTTTGTCTTACTATGTTCCTTGAAAGGTCAGCTGACAAAATTATTCTCAAGTCTTTCACGTGTTTCTTTCGTTCTATTTGACGATTCTCTTGAGTTTTGTATAGTGCTCCTTATCCTTATGAGTTCTTCATTCTTTCCATACCTAAGCAGTTGGAACGTATCACCACCGAACGCCACGTTCTCTACTGCCCACTGGAAAATACTGCTTATATCTTCCTGTAACGTTTCAATGTCTTCTACCGGTGACCTTCATGCTTATTTTAGTGTCATCTGCAAATAATGATAAAAAATTGTGACGGGTGTTTTTATCTATGTCTGCTATGAGGATAAGAAACAGCAGAGGTGCCAGGACAGTGCCTTGAGGAACTGAGATTTTTATATCGCTGATACTAGATTTTGCTGTGTTTACTACTACTTTTTGTGTTGTGTGTGTTAGGAACCCGAAAATCCATCTGTCTACCTTCCCTGTAATGCCCATGAGCCTCCTTGTGTGTGCAATCACCCCATGATCACATTTGTCAAATGCTTTTGCAAAATCTGTGTATATCACATATGCATTTTGGTTGTCTTCAAATGCCTCTGTAATAATTCTTTTATAGTGGGTCAACAGCTGCGACAGGCATGATCGTCCTGCTCTAAAACCATACGGGTTTGGGTTATGCCGACTGTGCTACTCCATGAAATGTGTAATCTGCCGTCTCATGACTTTTTCACATATATCTAGGCTCTTTCTCCAAAGAATACTGAGGGCTCTTGCTCGTGGTATAAATGTCTCTATCTCTCTCTCTCTCTCTCTCTCTCTCTCTCTCTCTCACACACACACAGTCATGCATGCATAACGACATTTCGGTATAGCACGTACATAATACTTGATAATACTAAACAACTATGATGCTGGTTTCAGTATTTACTAGACTGTACTTTTAATCGTTATTATAGAGTGTACTCTTTCTACTTACAAACAAAAAGTTTACCGTACAACAGTATGCCGTGTTCCGCTATCATTTTCCCTTGTATTTGATTTAATCTCGTGTTTTGTTCATTATGGCCATAGCAGAAAAAAACAGAACCTCAAAGAAAATTCACAGTGAAGGGTTTAGAGAAGTTTCTGCAGACCTGAACAAGATCCTTAAAAATTTTGAAAATGTTAGACCCCAACACCGAAAGGTTCTCATTAATAGGGAGGAATGTTCATGGTGAATTATTTGCTTACAAGAAAATCTATGATGAAAAAAAACAAAAAAAATAATATAGTCTAGATGTGTAATAGGCTACACCATCTAGATTTCTGCAAGTAGACTTTATGATGTTTGCACTACGACTAAATTGCCTAATGATGCATTTCTCAGAACACATCCCCGTTGTTAAGTGA